TTGCTATAAATCTCTCATTCTCGACTTTTGTTATGGAGGCTCATCATCTCCGTCATAAAAAGAGCATATTTTATTTCTGCCAACTGAAATTTCCATTATGACAACCAACACAAGGCTGCAGTAGTACGCTGCAGTAGTCAAATGTGCCTCTTTAGATTCATAAATATCTTCATTCAACAAACTTCCAACATGTATTCTTTGCTATGTCACCGGGGGAAGTGCACTGCAATGATCAAATGTGAAATTCCATAAGAATTTGAATTTCATAACAAGATAACAGATTGCATTATAAAATCTAACAGACAATATTTGTATGTGCCAAACATTTCATATCTGAGTCTGGCAAGAAAAATCTCTCTAATAGGCAATAATTGTTTGTCCCAAACATTTCGTGTCTATCTCTGAAAAAAGAGCTCCAAATGAGGACACAAAGCAAGCCAATTGAATCTTTTTCCTTCCAAAAGGATCAATTCAAGCTAATCCTATTTCTAAGGATGTTTTTTGTTTTGGAAACCATAGACCCTATTCTGATTTGCCCATTGCTAAGAGGAGTTCCCTTGTCAGGTTCTTGGAGAAGAAAAAGGACACAGAAGCATTATTTTTCAATTGAAAGTCTCAACATTGAATTGTAGAAAAAAGTGAACTTCACTCAAATTATGTTGTATTTCAAATGATTCCAACAAAAAAAGGGACAAAGAAAGGTTGCAACCTTTCTTTATACAACCAACAAGTCGAACTTAGCTTCGTACTTTTCATGATTAAAACCAATAAGGAGCCAATTTATAATTCTATTGCTAAAATCCCTAAAGCATAATGCTGATATGAATTTTAATCGATAATCTTATTGAACAACCTCAAAAATGTCTAATCTTTTTTATAGACCAACTAAAGAGTTCTGCTCCAATATTATGAATTTTAATTGGTAATCTTATTGAACAGCCTTAAGATTGGTAATCTTATTGAACAGCCTTAAGATTTAAGAATGAATAATCTCTTTGATATAAATATGAATTTTAATTGGTAATCTTATTGAACAACCTTAAGATTTAAGAATGATTGAATGACTAATCTCTTTGATAGACCCGCGAAGGAGTTCTGCTCTAATATTATGCTTCTCCAACAAACTTTAACAATAAGGTTTAACACCAACAAATGAGTCTTTCTTGATTATTTTACCTAGGTTTAACACTAAAGCTTCAAAAATTAGAATAGTGAATTCACAACAATAAAGTAAATGAATACATATATCTATAACATCACAAACATTTATAAAGTCCAAAAATGCACACCACAAAAGACAGACATGTCAATAGGAATGACATACATCTATCTATAACATCACAAACATTTATAAAGTTCTTACAGACATCTTAGAACAAAGGACAGATAAGGAAATATGAACGACAGACAAATGAATACTATGTTTAGCACGAAACAAGAATATGGTTACATACGTACATGATCCATTTTAATGACATAAATATGGCCCATGGTTGATGCTTGCTAATATTTTTAAGCCTCGGAGTATTCCTGAATTTGATTAGGAGGGTGGACCCCAATATTTTTATGAGATCATAAACATTCGTCTTAAATTGAAACCTTAGAATCATAATGTTTCAAAATCTTAGTATGTTCTTCCTATAATTTTAGTCTCTAATGAAACCTTTATTACAACGGTTTTTACTCAAAATAATGTTTCAAAGTATTGTAACAAGTAAACCCGAGGGGCACGTGTATACATTAGGAACAAAATGGGGGAAACAACTCAAACCATGTATTTGTAACATCACAGACAATTATAACGTCCTTAATTACAGACAACTCAAAACAATTGACAGACAACTTAAAACAAATGACAAACAATTCAAAACAAATGACAAACAAGAAAATATGAAAGACATACATCTATTTAAAACATCACAGACATTTATGAACTCCTTACAGACAATTCAAAACGTGTGACAGACATCTCACAACACATAAACAACATGTCAGACAACTCTTAAATCAGAGAAACAAAATTAGGTCTTGCTTAATTAAATTAAATCAATTATGCTAAGGTGAGTACTACAATGAAAAAATTACCTTTCAGCAAGATCTGTCAAACTACTTCCCACCATAGCTTCAAACTGATTTCCACGTAGCAGCGAGGGGTGGGTTGCGGTCGTTCGTTCTCTGCGCCACACAGGGGTTCAGCATTGGACCAGAGTAAGTCGTTCGTTCTTGGAGCAAACTGATTTCAAAATCAGCGCCACACAGGGGTTCAGCTCTGTCCGGCAAAGGTCAGTTCACTTCGGCGAAGGTCGGTTCTGTCCCCTTCATCTTTTGTCCTTTGCGTTAGTACTGGCCGAACAGGAGTGGGGCGGAAGATTCTGATTTCCGAAGCCTGGAAGTGGAGGGGTGTGTCCGGGAGTGGGGAGGGAGATTTGGATGGGTGAAAGACAAAAGAAAGATGGGGTAAATTTTTGGATTGGGAAGGAAGTAAGATAAAAAAAGGAGAGCCTTTTGTATAGGGTGCTAAAGGTGTAAACAATTTGTGTACACCTAGCAAAATTCTTATGTTGAATAACAATTGTTCACCCGAAATAGAAATTGGGCCTAAAACTTTCGGTGGGTGATTCCATGGTATCTTTGAAATGTTTTATATATAGATATAGATATAGATAGATATAGATATAGATTATAAAAAAAATAAGGAGGTTAGTAGGTCGAAAGTATATGACTCAAATGAAAATGATATTAGGAGATTCCGAGATTAGCTAGAGGAATTAGAGTTTGTAACTAAGAAGGCCTTTTATGAGTTATGACATGACAAAAATCAATTTCTTTTTTATGTCTGATTTTTCGAGTTTTTTTCTGGAATAATGCTAATTAAATAAATAATTCCCAAAACATTGTCGGATTAAAAATAATCCCCAGAATACTGATGAGATTAATCACGGTTAAAAAAAGCCGCCACTCGAAGTGACGGCTCTTCTCTTACTATAAAAAGCCACCACTCCAAGTGGCGGCTCTTGTCTTTAGTAATTACACCACCAGTTTATTCAGCGTGAAAAAAACACAAAAACCTGCTCATTACACTACAGTCAACTAAAAAACATCAAACAACTGCTCTTCATATTGAATATAGGTTGCTAAAAAACAAAACATAGTCGAGACACAACGAATTAATGGAACTACATTTGATCAAGATACTACAAATATCACATAAAGTTGATAATAAATCCAATGTTTCAGAAATCGATCCGCTAGTTCATGTTTAACACCATAATGTCAAGTACAGGTTTCATAACTCAACATGATCGTCATCATAAAGCTCATGTGGTTGTGCTTGTGGCTGAAGTCGGGGGCATTTGCGCTGATTACGAGGCTGAAGAACCATTCTATCACGTCGTCGTGCTTGGGAAAACCCTGCTGTGGATGTAGATGTCATGGAATACTAAGAGTTATTCATCGTTGTGTTACTTGGTGCATATATTTAGGGTTGCTTTTTAAAAAAAAATTGAACTCTATGTCAATTGGGCTTAGAGACCTTCAAGTTTTTTAAAAATTGATGCACCGTCACTGTTTAAACTTGACGGGCAAAACTGTCATGACCTCTTATATTGACGGTAAATACGGGTCAAAATTAATAGGTTCTTATTAAAAAAAAAGTTAGTGTTCACTGATTATCAACGTGCTTTATCTTGGAGTATCGAGAATTACAAATCACAAATCTTTGGAAAATGTTTGGAAATATTAATTCATTGTGAAGATTGCTAACAAATCAGTGATGATGTTCCTTTTGGACTTTTTTCCGTCCCAGACCAAACAAGACCTGAACAGACTAGACCAAACCAGACTTGAATAAACCAAACCAAACAAGACTTAAATAGACCATATCTGACTAGACTAGTTCAAACCAGATTTACACACACTAGACCAGCTCAGGCCAGATTTATACAGATCATACCGGATTAGATCAGTCCAAATGACAACATCCTCAAACTACCAATGTTGTTCACACAAAAAAATGTTTCAAAAAGTATAATATGCGGCAAGCTTATTGTAATATTTATTTATTTTTATTACAAAACATAGTTCGAACAAGATCGGGTTCTACTTTATTTTCCTTAATTATAACCTTTTACGTAGTACTCCCTCCGTCCCCCTAACTTTGTCACGTTTTACCTTTTTCGTCTATCTCATTAAGTTTGTCCCATATCATATTAGGTAATATTTGAGTGGTTAGAGTTCATTCCTACTTTATTTACACTTTATCAATTCAATATCAACCACACAATTTCATTTTTTCTTAAAAACAACACCACACCCCTTTGTCCCAAACTTGGGGGGACGGAGGTAGTACTTTATAGTATATCTCTACTCTTTTGATACATTTTACTAATTTTTTAAATATATACGTATATATATCTTTCCATCATTTTCAATGAGGCCAAAGACTCACTATTTTTTGGCTTGAGAATATGATGGAATAAAGCAAAATGGCTTAGGAAACTGTCTGTGCTTCTTTGTTATGAAGTAACAATTAGCCTATGCAATTTTCGACGCGTTTTTCACTATGGGTCATTCGAAAACAGTCTCTCTGTGCTTTAGTACAGGGGTAAGACTGCGTACATCCGACCACCCTTACTCCATCGTAGGTGGGAGCCTTTGCGGCACTGGGGTGATGATGATGATGATACGTGTATATATATATATATATATATAAATTAGTTTTTATTTTATATTAACTAATAATGTTAACAAATCGTGTTATATTTATTACTTAAGTTATGTCGCATGCATCACACGGGTGAGAATCTAGTGAAGAGCAGACGAGGAAGAAAGTGACGGTCATTTGCGAAGTACCTTGTCGTCTGATGGCATCACTGCTGATCTCCCGAAAAGGAGGTTACATGTTTGAGTCTCATCCTAATCAAAGATGTTGACATTGAAAATAGCAAAAACTATAGTACATTTAGAAGAATATTACGGAGTAAAAAAACGGAAAAAATGACCCCAATATTATTCCTAGAGTTTGCATTTACAAAAATATGACCAAATCTGACATTCACAAAATTGTGCTCAGTCTCTATCGCCCGCACACCGCATCGCTACCTTAGCTTCAGCATCATCTTCATCGCACATACGCTGATACGCATCCCCATAGCCGCCAGTCACCTCTGCGGTGCCCCTCCCGCCAAACGTCTCTGGATCGTCGTTCTCTTGTGGTCGTTTCTACGTCGGCACCTCCTCCGGTCGTCTCTGCATCGCCGCCACCTCTGGTCGTCTCTGCATCGCCTCCTCCGGTTGTCTCTACGTCACCATCGCTGCTTTATGTTCTCACAGTGGCTTTGCATCATCATCGACGCCTTAACTTCTGCGATTGGATCCGACTATGGCGATGTGCGATGTGCGAATCTGACTATGGTGATGTGCGAATCTCACTATGGCGATGTGCGACGACTGTGATCAGGGTTTGCCGAGGACGAAGACAACTATGCTGCCCCTCTTTGACTCTGTCTCTGCTCGCCTATCATCATCATCTTCTTTGTTTATTTTGTACCACATTTGGATCTCCCAGATCTGGCCTCTTCTTCGTGCAGCCATGCAGTGATGAATTGACGGGGTGGGGGTGGTGAGGGTGGGGTAGTGGAAGAGGCTAAGGTTGGGAGAGAACTGAATCTGATTGTAGCTGGTGGTGGCTGGGGAGAGATCTGAATCTGGTTGTGGCTGGTGGTTACTCGATGAAGCGGTGGTCATCAAACGGCTTGGGGGGGGGGGGGTGTCACTGTGATGAGGTGGGTGGACTGTGGCTGATCTGATAGGCAATGGTGGGGCTGCAACGACAATCACGGGATGAGGCAGCGGCAGTCGATGGGGTGGGGGCAGTCACTGGACGGGGTCACTGATTGGTGGGCGGATGGTCGCTTTGGCCAGGAGGCGGCGAAAGTCTCTACGGGGCGGAGTCACTGTGGCGGTGCAGTCATTGACTAGGCGGAGTCACTGTGGCGGCGCAGTCACTGGCGGGGCGTAGTCACTGTGGCGGCGAAGTCACTGTAGCGGCGTAGTCACTATGGCGGCGGAGTTACTTTGGCCAGAGTCACTGTGGCTGCGGGGCATTCACTGTGGCGGCGGGGCAGTCATTGTGGTCGGTGGGGCAGTCACTGTGGTCAGTGGGGTCACTTTGGCCGGAGTCACTTTACCCGACGTCACTTTACACTGCAACGTTAATTGTGATGTTGGTCAAATTTTTGGAATTTTAAAAAACAGATCACTTTTTTTTATCTTTTATCCTACTTTTAGTAATATATATTGGAATAAAAAGGCCAAAAAAACGACCGTCGTTTCGAATAAAAAAAATGACGGCCACGTCAGTCTTCGCCTCCCATTGGATAACGGTTGCCAGGTCAGCTTCGGCACCAAGAACAATCCCCACCCCTGCTCTTCCCTTCTCTAGATTTCAATTTTTCTCTCATCCCATTTCGCTGCAAATTCAATATTATCCTACGCGTTTCGAATTACCATTTCTATACCCTTGTTCCTCGAATACTTTATATTGTCAATTTTGCTCCCGGTATGATGGCTCCTAGGGGGATTCGATCGGTGAGCTTCGCGGCTATCTGCCTCGTTCTGATCGCGGTTCCTTTTCCGTCATCGGAAGGATTGATCTCTGCTCATAGTGCTAACCGTCCTTATCCCAAAGTCATACATGTAAGCTTTTCAGTTTTCCACTTCCCATTCTTTATCTTCTTCTCGTTATGGTTTTGACATCTTGCATCTACAAGGTATAAGCTTTTGTTATGTTTCTCCTAAATGTGAAATTTTCTTCGGGTTGGTATACTTGCTTTTGGAATCTGTAATGAAGCGCCCGGGCATAGCTCAACTTGTAATTGACTTCAACCTGCCAGATGGTTGGTTGTCCTCAGAATTTAAGAGAACTTGCAACTTAGGGTACCTCTTTTTTTCGTTTTTCTTTTTTCTTTTGTAAAAAGAATTTGTAATTACGGATGATGTTCAGTTGCTTGTATGAATAAAATTGATTATATGATGATTCGCATTAAATAAAATTAAACTGGAGTGGGAGATCACATGACTTCTTTTTGTGTATCAAATAGGATTTGAAGGAAGCAATTGTGAAGGGGTTAGGATTCAAGGAGGAGGATTTCGAGATATCTGGTTTTGACTGGAGAGACGTTTTGGTTGGAAGATCGGTGGCTTATGAGTTTGATGTTGAGATTGATGATAAAGTTCTTCCCTTGAAGCTTCTGGAGGATGTGAATAGATGGGAATATGTGGATTTGCCCATTTTCCGGGTACAGAATCCGGCAGAGGAAAACGGGCTGGTTGAGAAGAACAAGTTAGAGAAGCAGACGCCTGTGTTAGCTCCTTTCACTCTTGCAGGCCCAATGGAACTCTGGGTCCAGGATGCTAAGAACATGAGGCTTTCGCTGCCTGTAAGTTGAAAAAATCTTTGGTCGGTCCTATTCAATGCCATACTTCGTCTCTTGTTTTATATCTAATGTTCAGATACAGGCAGTTTGGTAGACCGTAATGACATTTAATGTAATGTGACCGGATACTCCATAGTTTTAGTGTTTAAAAAGCATTTATATTACACTTGAATTTTGTAATGGAACATGACTATAACAACTATCTCAACTCTTGTCGCCTTTTCATGATATATTTCATGCAAATGGAAATAACCTTTGACAATTACGATTGTAAATTTCACCTCATGATTCCTTCATAAGCTGATTCTCTAGTTGTTCCTGTTTTCCTCTTGTTTCATAGCTAACCTTAATGCGTTTTTTAAAACACAGAAAAAGGTAGAGGACATTTTTTTAAATGCTGATGAGAATGGTTTTATTTACCATTGGACAATACAGAAAAAGAAATCATTAAATCATTTCAAAATTCTTTTCATTTATTTTATCTTTGTAAAATAGTAATATATAAATAAAACAAGTTTGGAAGTATATATTAAATTTACTTATTGAGCTTCAACCAATTTTTTATTATTTACCCTCACATTTTCTTTTCTGGGAAATTTTCTATGTATATTTCTCCATAGTATTCTCCTATTTCGAAATGCACCCAAATAGTTCATTTTCATCCTTTCAAGTGGCTCCCACCTAGGTATGTTTAGATTGTGGTCTGAATGATCTATCTATCTTGGTTGTTTATTCTACAGTTACAAGGTATCTTGATGACCTGTTACTTGCCTTGCTGATTGGGTTTTTGGGTTCTGAAAAATTTATGCAGCATGATGTGGATGCTGGTACGGTGAAGAAAGTTGTGTTAGCAGATGGTGCTATGGTCACCGTTAAGGGTGCCAGATCTGTTAGTCTCCGCCACCCAGTCATGCTTCCGCTTCCATTTAACAGATCCCATAACGGCTTTGCTTCCGGTCTGTTAACTCTGGCAGATCACCTGCGCCGAGTCATTAGCATGAAAGGTGGTCCGATACTATCTCTTCGCATTGTGGGGCCAACTTCTCTCACGTCACCTACTCCATCATCCTCTTCATCAAACAGGCTTAAACTTAAGCGTCTTGCACCCGGCCTGGTGGAGCTATCATCTGTGCCTAAAATCAAAGCGATCTCCGCCACAGTTGATCTCCAGGGAGAGGCCACAACTGCCCTCCTAACACCCACCCGATTCACTACCATGTGGCCATTGGTCTCCATCAATGGCTCCAACCCTCACTTGATTGGTTTTGAGTCATTGCTTTCTTCTGTGCTGGGTCCCAAGGCAAATGCAAAGGGTTCTTTTAAGTTGCTAAAGGCAGACATATCGGCTCAGACGTTCGTGAAGATGGGTTTCGCGTTGGAGAAGAAGTTGAAGGTGGGGGATGCGTTTGGTTTAGAGAGTTTCCCGAAGTGGATGACGAGGCCGGAGACAGTGAGGATGCATTTTGAAGTGTTGGCTAAGGTGGACGGAGACAAGGTCGTGCCGGAGAGAGTGGTACAGGTTGAGCCTGTAAGTCTTGATAACACTGTTGCACCAAATATGCTTTCAGGCAATGTGACCATGTCTACCACCCCCATTGTCCATCCACCACAAATCCCATTCACATTATGAATAATGAATAAATACCTGGCTCAGTTTAAGCTGAAATTCCACTACACCCATTGGGTGTCACACACGCCGTTTACTGTTACGATTGTATAGATAGATAAAATCTTGTTTTTTTGCATGCCCTCATTCACAATCTCGCACAAACTTACGGTTTATCTCCATCATATATACAACAGACCTTTGTAATGTGTATATTATTCTAAATCTGACAGATAAACTTGTTTTTACTTAATGATGACCCATTTTGTTTAACGCAAATGGTGGCAAAGTTGTAAAATGAGTTAATGCTTACTCTTTTTTTTTTTTTTTTTTTGTTCTTTTTTAGTTGCAACGTTTCAATTTTCAATTTTTATGTTTACCAACACACTTTTTGATCATTAATATATTTAAAGTTGGAGAAACTTAACAATTTTTTTTCAAAATTTTAATATAAATAATACATTGATAAATAAAATGTGGTCAAGGTAGAACTTGTAAAAAGGGTAAAATTCATCAATACAACAACATCCAAGTCTTAATCCCAAACGATATTGGGGTCGGCTAACATAAATCGATACATGATATCACCAAAAGGAAAAGAGAGAAAATAAAGCTAAAAAAAGATAAGCTAATATAAAAGAGATGAATATACATGTAAATGATAAAATAAAAAGGATAAAAATAATATTTATATATAAGGATACAACAACGACAACAACATCCAAGCCTTAGTCCCAAACGATGTTGGGGTCGGCTAACATGAATCGATACATGATATCACCAAAAGGAAAAGAAAGAAAATAAAGATAAAAAAGATAAGCTATTATAAAAAAAGATAATATAAAAGAGATGAATATACATATAAAAGATAAAATAAAAAGGATAAAGTAATACTTATATATAAGGATAAAAATATAAAAGAAAAAGAAAAAAAAGAAGAAAAAAAAAGAGGGGAAAAGATGATACAAGATCACTCCTCCACACGAATACCCGCCCTCCATTTTGCTCTCTCCAAAGTCATACCCTCATCCAATCCAAGAAGAAGCATATCACTTCTGACTCCCTTAACCCACGTCTGTTTGGGCCTTCCTCTCCCCCTCTTCCCTGCCTCTTCTCCACACATCTCAACTCGTCTGACAGGTGCATCACTCGGTCTTCTATGCACATGACCAAACCACAGTAGGCGCGACTCCCACATCTTATCTTCAATAGGTGCTACTCCCACCCTTTGTCTGATTGTCTCATTCCTCACGCGGTCCTTTCTAGTATGCCCACACATCCAACGCAGCATGCGCATCTCTGCCACACTCATCTTTTGAATGTGACATTGTTTCACCGCCCAACACTCCGTGCCATATAGTAATGCAGGCCTAATTGTTGTCCTATAAAATTTACCCTTCAGTCTAGTCGGCATACCTCGATCACATAGAAATCCTGACGCACTCTTCCACTTCATCCACCTTGTTCTGATTCTATGGGATACATCTCCATCTAACTCACCGTCCTTCTGAATTATGGAGCCCAAGTAACGGAACATATCGTTGACCGGTATCTCCTTACCATCTAAAGTAATTCCGCTATTACCACTGCTTCTACCTCCACCAAACTTGCACTCCATGCCTCTGTCTTGCTCCTACTTAGTCTGAAACCCTTGTTCTCCAATGTTTGTCGCCATACTTCCAACTTTGCTTTAACCCCTGATTGCGTCTCATCAATCAATACAATATCGTCGGCAAACATCATGCACCACGGTATAGCATCTTGAATTGACTTTGTAAGTTCATCCATGACTATGGCAAATAAAAAAGGGCTCAGAGCCGATCCTTGGTGCACTTCGATAGTAATAGGGAACTCTGCAGTCCTCCCTACACTAGTACGGACACTTGTAGTATAATCCTCATACATATCCATGATGATGCTGATATACTTCCGTGAAATGCCTTTTCTAGTTAAGGCCCACCAAAGAACTTCTCGAGGTACCCTATCATATGCCTTTTCTAAGTCAATGAACACTAAATGCAAATCCTTGTGAGCGTCTCTATACTTCTCCATAAGTTGCCAAAGAAGGTGAATAGCCTCAGTTGTTGAGCGACCAGGCATAAAACCGAATTGATTCTCTGAAATCTTCACCGTTCTTCGAAGTCTTTGCTCAATCACTCGCTCCCAAAGTTTCATGGTATGACTCATAAGCTTAATCCCTCAATAGTTGGCACATTCTTTTACATCACCTTTATTCTTAAATAAGGGAATAATAGTACTCTTTCTCCAACTCGTTGGCATCTTGTTGTTTCTCCAAATCTTGTTGAAGAAATTTGTTAACCGCTCGATGCCTTGACAAGTAAGATTAATTAGCATGGCCATGCTCAAATGAAGTATCATTTGTTCAAGGTTAATCTTACTTGGTAATCAAGAAATATTAATTGAGAATAACAAGGATGACATGACCTAACCTTGTCTCAATTAAGATATCGTTTGACAAAAGATAATTGCTATCACAAATTAATCATTAAAAAGTTATGTCAGATTTAATTGACATTTATATATTTTAGATAGTCATAATGTCTTGCTAGAGGCCGCTTATGATTTGTGAGACTCGAATTAATTTTCTAGCCCACTGCTAACGATATATAAACCTACAAGGTCACACACCTAAGTGATTTGGATCATTAATGTTGTTAATAACATTAAAATAGCCTGATTAGCCTATTTGAAATAGGTTTTCAAATGGTATTGGGCTAGGGCCTCCATGAGAGTTTTATTAGCTATAAAACTCCTTTCCTCCTCTTATAAATAGGGCTAAGGAGACCCACGAATTTAAGAGTTAAAATTCACATAAAGCCTAGAGAGAGAGAAAGAAGAGATCGCTAGCACGTGACATCCTTGCTTAAGATTGCTATGTAAGTTGCTCTTATGTCTTGTAATTTCGTTTATAGTAATAACCTCAGATCCGATTGTGTACTTTTGGGCACTTTATTTTTTGTTTATTCCGCTGCGTTTTTCTGGCCAAAACCTAACAGAACAATCATTCGTCTGGGTCACTTCGCGATCCGGTTCTTGTAACATAGTACTGTCTCCGTTCTTTTTTAGTTGCAACATTGATGAATGAGACAATCAGACAAAGGGTGGGAGTAGCACTGCACCTATTGAAGATAAGATGCGGGAGTCGCTTACGGTGGTTTGGTCATGTGCATAGAAGATCAAGTGATGCACCTGTTAGACGAGTTGAGATGGGTGGAGAAGAGGCGGGGAAGAGAGGGAGAGGAAGACCCAAACAAACATGGGTTAGGGGAATCAGAAGTGATATGCTTCTTCTTGGATTGGATTAGGATATGACTTCGGAGAGAGCAAAGTGGAGGGCGGGTATTCGTGTGGAGGAGTAATCCTGTATAATCTTTTCCCTTCCTTTGGACTCTAAGGAAGAAGAACAAGATATCTATAGACTTCCTCGTCTTCGTGATCGTAGGACTCAAGATATCGGAAAAGTTAAGTGTGTGATAATAGATATCTTTCTCTCGCTATACGAGAGTGACAAAAACTATCTAGATAATTCGCATACCACTACGTGGTTCATAATATGTACAATCACCACTTTTATAATTACACATTTAAAGATAACGTTTAATGATGTTAATACATATTAATTCACATGTAAGTAACCATGATTATCTCAAGTATAAAAATATAACACCTCATCATTATTGAGGACAACATTGATGTCAGATAACCTAGTAGTGTCCTCAAGTTGGGTCTATTCAATGAACTTGTTCACTAACAAGCATCTATGTTATTAACTTGATATCTCTATACCCATGACTAGTGGGTCATGGGTTAATCCAAATACTGGTCTATTAATTATTAATGGCCCAAATTAATAATATTAGACCAGTGACAATTAGAATATTAAGCTTATTTTAAAGTGTAGCATTCCACGATTAAGTCACATACTTAATTAGCTACTAAACATAATATTCAGGGACTAAATATTACTCCGTAATAAAGAAAACTCAGAATAATTTTTAACATAAAATGAGATCCATTTGCATCTACACTGCCATCTTTATTTAATTTCTTTTTGTAGATCCATTTGCACCCAATGGTTCTACAACCATCAGATAGATCAACCAAGTCCCAGACTTGATTGTCGGTCATGGATCTCATTTCGGATTTCATGGCTTCTAGCCAACTATCAGAGTGAGGGCTCAATATTGCTTCTTGGTAGGTCAAAGGTTCATCGTTTATTAATAATACGTCACGCTCAGTTAAGATAAACATGTATCTAACTGGCTTGTTACGTACCCTGGATGACCTCCTTGGAGCGAGTGCAACCTCAGGTGTATTCACAACAACTTGTGGCTGAGATTGCGGGACTGCTTGCATAGTCTGACTATCTTGAACTTGTTGAATATCTTCAAGCTGTATTTTACTCCCACTGGTTTTTTCAGAAAGAAATTCTCTTTCTAAGAGGATACCATTACGAGCAACAAACACTTTGTTCTCTGATGGGTTGTAAAAGTAATATCCTTTTGTTTCCTTAGGATAACCCACAAATAAGCGCTTATCTGATTTGGGTTCAAGCTTATTTGAAAGTAAACGTTTTACATAAACTTGACAAACCCAGATTTTCACAAAGGTTAGACTAGGAACCTTTCATGCCCGTATCTCATATGGTGTCCTTTCTGTAGCCTTTGTTGGAGCCCTATTGAGTATGAATGCTGCGGTTTCAAGAGCATAACCCCATAAAGAGATTGGTATTTCACCGAGACTCATCATTCCATTGTGGTGTACCCGCCGGAGTGAGTTGTGAAACAATTCCACAGCTTCTTAGATGGTCACTAAATTCCTGGCTCAAATGTTCACCACCTCGATCTGATCAAATGACTTTTATTGTTTTGCCAAGTTGACATTGGCCCACATACATCCGAGTGTATGAGGTCCAATAAACCATGAGCTCTTTCACCTTTACCAGTAATGGTGACTTGACCATTTTATCCAATAAACAAGATTCACACACCTTGATTGATTCAAAATCAAAAGAGACAAGAAATTCATAAGAATGGAGTCTCTTAATGCGCTTCTCATTTAAACCTCTTTGTATTTACGTGATAGATGGACATTTCAAGGTCTAGAACATAATGTCCATTTATAAGACTAACACTGCCATAAAAGATCTCATTAAAATAAATAGAACACATGTTGTTCTTTATTATAAAATGAAATCCTTTCTTGTCCAAACAAGAAACAGAAATTATATTCCTGCTAATGGCAAATACATGATAACAATTATCAAGTTCTAAAACT